TTCCCTATCCCTCCCCGACTTCCTCTCCTCCTCCCCCCACCCCCAGAAAGATGTAAAGTAGCCATTGGGACCCAGCTTCAGATTCTGACCATAGAAGAAATGACATCTGGGTTTTCCTGAACAGAAATCCCCCGGCTACTTAGCCTCAGTCTCCCGATCCCCGGCCAGGGAGTGAGGCTGTCCTGGCACAGGTCACTGTGACCTGGAGTGAAGCATCAGCACTCTGTCCCGCAGCCTCCCTGAGTGATTGCTGACCATCCGCTCTCCCTCCCCCTTTTGTCCCTTTGCTCATTCATTGACTCAGCCTGTAATTTTTCAGCATCTACTCTGTGTCAAGCCCTCTGCTGGGCCTTGGCGTGTGGAGGTCGATCAGGGAGATGTGGCTTTCCTGGGCCACACTGTCGCCTGGCTGTGGACCGGCCTGAGAACTGAGAGGAGCCCTAACCCCTGGCCAGCCAGTCCCTTCTTCCCACGATGTGGCTAAGAAGCCCAGCCAGAATTGGCTCTCAGATTTGAGCCTGGGGTGGTAGAAGTGAAGGCAATGGGCAGTTTATAGAAGTGTGATTAAAATGTAGGGACTTGTTATTGTTTGTTAAGGAGATTTGAAAACTTATTCTCTTCCCGTGTTGCCGGGGCCGCTTTGGCTAAACAGTTCCCCTTCTCCATCCGGCCCTGATCACGCAATGGACATTCCTGATTCCCCACTGTGCCCTCCCAACCATCCATTCTCAGCAAAGCAGGCAAACCCACCTTTCAAGACATGAATTCAATCCTGTCTGTCAGCTACTACAAACTCTCTGAGGGCTCCTTTCTGCACTTGGAATAAAACCCAAGCTCCTTCCCTCAGCCTCCACACTCCCTGGAACGACTCCCCAGCCCTTCCTCCCACTGCCTCAGCCAGGCTGCTCTGACCTCTTCTGAACACCAAGCTCACTTCTGCCTCAGGGCCTTTGTATCTGCTGTTCCATCTCCTCTGCCTGCGGCAAATCCAGATGAAGAACTATCCAGTCCAAAATGTGAAAGGTTGGGAAACAAATTATAGGAAATCCCAACACAATCCCGTGAAATAATTCTCAGAATGACATGATGATAAAAATCACTCCTTAAATTTTAACCAGAGTTCCAAGAATCATCTATCAAGACATCACTTAGCATCTGATCCACCATAAAACTTGAGAAAGAAAAGGACCAACTGTCCAACTGTCCATTCAGCATAATTGCTGCAAAAAGATACCCTACTAAAATATGCCTTGTGCTCAATTCCTTCTCAACATTTAGGTCTTGATAATATAATGCTCCGAGGATGTTATAAGAACGCTTTTAGAGTACAGAGATTCCCATGCAAAATCTCCTGAAGGGCTTTGGTAGTGACTCTCCAACAGCTGAGACAGACCTGGCTGCCCTTAGCATTTGCTCTTGAGTAGGTGACTGATGAGCCACTGGAGAGGAAGCTCTCGCCAGTTTCTTCCCCACAGCACTGCCCCAAGAGCCCATGACCACTGGATGGTGGCTAACAAGTCCTCGTCCACTGTCATTTTCAGACAGGACTAACTACAAAATTGGAACCTGGTACAAAATGAAAATGGGAGACCCTCATCCATAAAACATGGGGGGGGGAGTGTTGCTAAAGTGCTAAAATATAAAGCCATTTCTTTTCCTTACATTTCCCACAACAACATGCAGACTTCATTACCCCATCCTGATCAAAGATAAAAGTTTTAAGGATCTCAAGACAGTGGCAGCAGAGCATACTTTAACCAGGTGCAGGTTCTTCTGGGCATGCGGCCCTGTGTGACTGTAAGTCACACTTGCATGCCCTCGAAGCAGGTGGCATCACTGGGGCTGAGATGGCAGGACCAGATCGGAGATGACCAGAAATAGCCCAAACTGAGGTCTCCCAGTTCTCCAGGACCCTAAGGAATGGTTAAGAATGGAAAGACTAGTTATTGGCTCAAAAGGAATGTTTTTAAAAACCGGTAGAAATTTAATAAATGTTTAATTAGATGCCCATAAAACCTTCTTAATAGTTGACTTTGGTATTCATAAAAATTAAATTACATTGGAGAAACAATCCGAGGTTTAGCTTTCCTCACTTCCAGAATATGCCTAAGTATGCACAGTGATGGCCAAGAAATCACTGCCAGTTAAATTAAAGCTTAGAGTCAAATATTTGCAAAAGCAAAATTATAAAAATCCCTCTGATTACTTTATGGGGAAAAGAAGCACTTAATGTACAAGTAGGAGCCTTTTAATATGTTTGGTGCATATAAGATGAGACCTCAAAAAAGCAATTTTTTAAGGGCCTACCAAGATCCTGGGAGGCCCCAGGGAATGGGAGAGGAGCCAGAAGTGTAAGAATCTTTATTCCTCTCTGAGAGTGGGAACAATAGCAAATCCCTCCTGTGTGTATGAGCTGAGATTCCCCTGGGGCACGAGACCAGCAATCCTTGGCCTGCAGAACATGGGAAGACCAGGGAGAGGGGAATCCAAGAGAACAGAAGGAAGAGTGCACACCTGAAGTGGAAAGGGGAAGAAGGCAGGACCTGGCCCCTCACCCGCTCAGCGTCATGATGGGAGGGGGCCCAAGGGGCTCCAGACCCCACCATATAGAGCTGGATGGAATGATACCAGGGCTGCTAACATGTGGTCCCCGGGTGAGGTTAGCTAGGGAGCAGTGTTGACAGGTTGAAGTGTGGACACAAAAAGGGACGTTCAAATCCCAACCCCTTGGTGCCTGTGACGACAACCTTATTTGTAAACAGGACCCTTGCGAATTCATTAAATTGAAGATCTTGAAATGAGATCATCCTGGACTATCCAGGTGGATCCTGAATCTGATAATGAGAAGAGGACAGTGGTTAAGGGGAGAAGAGACATGGAGAGAGAAGCAGAGACCGGAGTGATGCTGTCACAAGCTAAGGGACACAGGAAGCCACCAGAAGCTGGAAGAGGCAGAGAAAGACTGTCCCATCTTCATCTTGATTTTGGACCTGTGGCTTCCAGAGCTGCGAGGGAAGCCACCCAGTGGATGGTATTTTGTAACATTTTTAGTGTGGAAGACCTAGGGAATCCCCTGACCCCTGTCATTTCTATCACAGGAGATTGAGTCTTTACGATACTTGGCTTTAGGAAGCCAAATCTTTATTACTGAAAGATTTCTGTATCTTTTATTGGAAAAAAAAAAAACAAAGAAAGAGAGAGAGAGATTTTTAAAAAGCCACTGTTCTGTATTAATGAGTCTATCTCACTGGGAGAAGGCAGCCAGGGCTCCCGATTCCGCTTCCATCCACTCAGTTGTCTGTGGCCCACTTTCACTGAATTTGTCACAGATTAAATAGGGCCCCTCTCCCCTAAACTCACATGTTGAAGTCTCAAAGCCCAGGACCTCAGGATGTGCCCTTCTGTGGAAATGAAGTCTTAATCCAGTATAACAGATGTCCTCATAAAGGGAGGGCATCGGGGCAGAGAGAATAGCAGCAAGGAAATACAATAAGAAGTGACACAGGAGGAAAATGGCCAGCTATGGGCAAGGCGGGAAGCCTGAACACACCATTCCCTCACAACCCTCAGGAAGACCAACCCTGATAACACCTTGGTTTGGGACCTCTGATCTCCAGAGCTACGAGACAATGTATTTCTGTTGTGTGGGTCATTCGGTATGGTATTTTGTTAAGGCAGCCTGTGATAGTTAATTGTGATGTCAACTTGAATGGATTAAGAAAAGGCTAACGGATTGGTGGAGCACAGTTCAGGGTGCGTCTGTGGATGACAGACACGTAGGCTGACTACCTACCAGGGAAGACCCACATGGGACACAGGTGGCACCAACCAACAGGCCTAAAGTCTGAGCGAAATAAAGGACAGAAGAAGAAAGTCTTCCTTTGTGCTTCTTTGGAACAGCTTCAGTCTTCACCACCTACTTTGGATGTTCCTCTCCAATTCCCCCAGGCTTCTGGTGCAGATTCTTTAGCTTTCAGACACTGCACTCTGCGGTGAGCTCCAGGCCTTCGCCTTTCAACTGGATCTTCCTGCTCTGCAGTGAACAGCGGATTTGCATCCTTCCAACCCTGACTCAGCAGGTGGCCATTGTCTTGTAGATCTTTCATAATATATGTAATTAAATATTTCTCTAGTGGACCCTGACCGACACACAACCCTAGCAAACTATTACAGTCTCCAGCCTGGGTTTTAACACACTCTGAAAAAGGTACGAGTACAACAATTATTTTCATGGTAAGACCTCTTGAACTATTTCAAAATAATATGGAGACTGGAGGAGTATCTCAGTGGTACAATGCTTGCTTAGCATGCACGAGGCCCTGGGTCCCATTCTCGGCATTGCTTATAATATGGAACCGAGATTTTACAGATTCACATTGAAATTTTACCTAAAGACATAGTACCTAGAGAGGCATTAAAGTCTAGCCACATTTTCAAGAAATTTCACCAAAGGCTTACAAAAGCCTCATGCATGGCAAGGATGCAAAAGAGCAAGTGTCTAATTCAATTGAATGACAGAGTTGCACAAATTGCCCTGTGCCCTCTGCTTCTGTAAATAGAATGAACCCCGCAATATGATTTCCCAGGAACTTGCTTAACGAAAGTATCCAAAATATAGGGGGGAAAAAGACACTGATTACCCTAATGTTTTCAACAAAAGAAGGATAGTTAAAAATTACCAAAAAAAAAAGGCAGCAGACTTTTATCCAGCTAGTCAAAATGATAAACATCACAGCAGCATAGGAAATATTTATGATACCAAATTTTGGAGGAAAAAAAGCAATATACAAAAACATATGCAGGGCCCAGGATTTAGCTCAGTGGTGCTGCACCTGCCTCACAAGCACAAGGTCCTGAATTTGATCCCCTGTACCGGAAAAAAAATATCATTTGTTATTATATTAGTTAAAAAAAAATGCACGTAACAGAAGACCATAGGGGAATTCACACCATTAAAGTAGTTGGGCATTCCGTGAAGAAAATGTAGGAACTCACAAATTTTTAACAAGGTATAAAAAAGGCTAAATACAGAAAAGTTGGTTCATTGAGCTTGAATAATAAGCCAGGTACCAAACCCAACCAAGAAACCAGGACTCTAAATTCTAAACCCAAAATTTGTCAATGAAACAAGACTCTCTGCTTATATTCTTAGCCTCTTGGATGTTTAAAACACACAACTTTTGGGAATGTCAGGTTCCACTGAAATTTTCCCCAGTTTGTTTTAAGCCATCATTTCCTGAGAATTCCCCTCCCTTTATTAACTCTCAGGCCATCTGCACAATGAGGCGCTCTCACTGCGATGTAAGCAAAGGACTGAGGAAGCCTGTTCCTCCACGGCTCCCTCGCTGCCACTCACTCGGGAGCCTCTGGTACCAGCCTGTCTCAGCCAGGCTCCTGTCCCTTCCTACCACCGCCACAGACAGATGGTTGGTGAGGCCTTGACTCAAGGAACATCTGAGGCCTGGGTACCTCCTCACTCTGGGCCCACACCACCCACCAGAATTCCGCCACCCCAAATGCCTGCTTGAAACCACAAATTCAGGGCAAAAATGTCTACATGTAAAGCCCCCCTTCTCCTCCCTCAGCTCCGAAAAGGTACAAAAACTTGGGGTTCATATAGGCCCAGCTACACCCAACACTAGTGTCAGGGAGCTGCCTGCCAGTTGGACTTCAGAATACTTTATCCTGAAGTAACAGCTTCTGGGGTTCTCAGCTTTGCTGAGTTCTTCCAGAACCTTCTATAGGCATAGTGGGGACACATCCTTCAATCAACTTTGAAAGAAAAATCTACTTTGTATTAACTTTAACCAGCACTGATTATCTAGCCTGTAAAGCAGCTCTGTGCTAACTATAAGCCACCTGTTGCTATTTCTCTACCCTTACCCCACAAAAAGAGATGATTTCAAAGAGACTTATCGGCAAAGTATGTTAGCTAAGAATTATGTCTTTTTCCTTTTTTTGTTCTTCTGTTCATAAAAGACACTCTGAGGTAGCTACCAATCAAAACTACAGTTTTGAAAGACCAGGGCTAACAGAGCTGTGGGGCTGCCACTCCCACCAAAAGCAAAAACACTGGATTTTAATTTGCCTTTGCCTCTTTGGCTGTTTGGAAATATTAATAATTGATAAATTCAATACTAAGAGGTCCCTTCAAGTTCAGGAACTGCAGGTTGGAAATCACTACTACAAGGTGCAGGGGTAGGGGAGGGTAAAGAATAAACAAAACAAGAGTCTTTAGCTTTGAGCAATAAGAAAATTCGTGTAGCTATATCCACCCAAAACAGTTAAGTACTTAACTTGTTCCAACCTTGCCCATTGCTTTTCTAACATGTGTACCAATTAGGTTTTGCAGGCCTGAAGGGAATTACAATGAGTGTATCTTACTCCTCTGGTGAGCAGAAAAGACGATACTTAAGTATTTGTCAAATAAATGAACAGTGACCTACATTTTTTAAGACAATTAATTTTTACAGGGCACACTGCCGGTCGGGTAAGACTTCTTAGTACATGATCCCACAGCAGCCCTAAGCCCAAAAGTAATCAAAGGAGAAAGTGCAGCTGCTGTTCCAGGAGGCTGATGAGACTGTAGGTGATTAGGCTGACAAGGCTTGGGCTGGGGGGGGGCACCCTGAGAGGTTGCCCGCCCTTCAAATGCTAATTTGTTCTCTTTTCTGGAAGAACCCCCCCCATCTTTGAACCCCTATGGGGCCAGGCTGTGGTTAGGACTCTGTGGAAACCCAGTGCCATGCCAATTAAATGCCAGAAACCCTAGGGCAGGGATCATTAAAAACTGGAATAGTTCACTATTGAATGGTAAGGACAGGATCCTCAGAGGACATGAAAGATGTGGCCAGGCAGAGAGGAACGCAGACAGCAGGCTTGGTCTTTTTTTTTTTTTTTTTTTCTTGTCTTCTGATGAGCCCAGATCTTCCCACATACTAGTCAAGCATTCCACTACCAAGCTACACCCAGACCTGAGACAATGTTCTTTTTGAGGTTTTTTGTTTTTTGTTTGTTTGTGTGTGTGTTTGTTTGTTTGTTTTATTTTCAGTAGTGGGGTTGAACTCAGAGCCTTCACAGGGAGCTATATCCCCAGACATTTAATTTTTCTTTTCTTCCTCTTTTTTTTTTTTTTTTTTTTTTTATAAGGCCTTCCTAAATTGCCCAGGCTGGGCTCGAGTTTAAAATCCTTCTGTCTCAGTTCTTCCAAGCACTGGGATTAAATGTGTGATCCAACACACCTTGCCCAAAATTACATTCTTGCTACGGAGACCAGTTTAAATAAAGGCACCAAGGTCGAAATTAATCACAAGTATTTGGCTAACTGCACAGAAATCAGTCAAGAAAGGGCTGGAGTTAAGGGACCTTTGGATGGCAAATGTAGATCAGAGGTAGGGGATGAGAAACACCCCTGGCAACAGAAGTGATGCTGTATCATTAGCCAGTAGAGTCCACACATTGTGTGCTTCTATTATCAGAAGAGAAAGTTTCTTTCCACAAGTATTGGAAAGTAAATGCCACTTCTCTGGGGCTTAAGAGCCTTCCTCATTAAAGGATACTCAGAGGCCCAATCGAACTCCCCCTTACCCTTTTCCCTGGGACACTTGGGCTACATAGAGTGAGCGACCCTCCTGGGTTACTCGGGACTGAGGGGTTTCTTGGGATGTTCCAGTTGAGGCTGGGACAATTCTGGGCCAACCAGAGGAGTTGTTCCGTTCACACCACATCTCAGGAGTGCAGGACGCTGACCATGCATGCCCGGAGCTTCACAAAGGACTTTCCCACCCCCAGGCTAGGGTTTATGCTCCGTGCCTGGCCCGTGCACATCCAGCAGACACCTCCCAGAAGCTGGTGAAAGCTGCAGGATGGGTTGACCAGACAGATTCGAACCCAGACCTCAACCAGATCCCCAAGAAGTTGGAGTGCACAGCCAGGTATGAGGAGCGCAGGGTTATTCGGTGGAATTTCTTCCTGGAGTTGGCTGGGGGTCTGCATGTGCTGCTCCGAGTATTGTCTCAATATTGGAGGAACAGTCCAAAAGCAGGGCGGAGAGAATGATAGCTTTTATACTACAGCAGTTACAGCCTCGCACTGCGAGAGGCTGCAGCATGCTCTGCTGAAGTCCCCGTTCTTCTTTCTCCAAATTTCCAGAAAGATCACAATAGCCCAGAGCACCCCGGGTTCTATAGCTGCTTTGCTTTGTCAGCCACTACACCATGGAGAGCCTGCACTAGTCATTCCTGGTGGGGGCGCCTGTCCTCGGAGAGTGGTGTGCCCAGCAGCATCCCTGGCCTCTATAGCCCCTCTTGCTCCTTGTGACAGCCAGGAATGTCTCAAAACATTGCTCAGTCTCTTCCAGGCAGCAAAACAGTCCCCGTTCAGAACCACTGGCTTAGACAAACAGACGCGCTCATGGAAAGAGAAACCAAAGGGAGATGTGAGAGATCTCCCGCCTGTCAGGGAGTGATTAAAGTCTGGAAAACTAGGCCAGGCCGATCCCTGCAGGCTCCTGGAGAGAAACGGCTGGGGGACCAAGAGCCACCCCTCGTCTAAGGAGAAGCCTTCTGTCAGTGACACAAATGAAGACAAGCAGCCCCCAGCTGCTGTGAGCTCATGCCATCTGCCCTCCACCCACAGATGTTCTGTATTATTTAACCCACAAAACCCAAGTTGCCTTTTTAACAGAAAGCCAGGCCGAATTATATAGAAGGCTAACAGCATTGTTTAAAAAAGAAAGAAAGAAAGAAAAAAAGCCTGGCTAGTTTATGTTTAAATCACTAAAGTAAGCCATCTGGCCAATCCTCAGCAGGTCCTAACAGAAGGCAAAAGGTCTTCCCAGGCGGGACACTCACCGCTCCAGCTCCTGCTACAGGCCAGCACTGTTCACTGTTTGAGTAGTCCTGTATATCTGGGCCCTGTGAAGAGGCTCCCAACTCTGCCTGTAGGCTGGCCTAGCCCTTACCCTCCCTCGAGCCATGCAAAGAAAGTTAACTTCCACATTTGCCACTTCTAAATTGCACTCCCCCCGACTTCCCATTGCCAATTCAGTCTCTCAGAAACCTGGATTCGTTTTACGATAGTGTCACAATTGCTGTCAGCCAAATGGCAGGTGGGAAGTAGCCAGCGTGGCCTGATCAGGCGCCAACGTCAGCACCGGCATAAAACTCTCTATGCGATCTCAAAGATTTGGAAGAAGATCTAGGAGAAGCTGAGGCGTACCCTCTTGGCACATAGGAAATCAGTGGTCACGGGGAATAGGCAAGGAGGTGAGGAAACCTATGTCTTCTGTAACCTGGCTGAAGAGGAAGAGTAGGCCAGCCCTACACGAGTACTCTTCAGACTGCAGCTCCTGGTCCAGAGAGCTTGGAGAAGATTCAAAATCTCAGGGCAAGCCTAGGCCTACTAATCTGAATCTCTAAGGTCAGGGCCAAGCCCTTTAGGTTATCCTGGTGACTTTTGGGTTATTCTCAAGTGCTATCCCCCAGATATGTGGCTTAAATCTACCAAGCTGCCTTAAATCAAGAGATTAGTGCCAATAGCTTCTAGTTTTTTTAGGGAGTCCTTTAAGAAATGTTATATCACCCATAGTCTAGACAAAGACTATACCGTATTAAAAAAAAAAAAAAAAAAAAAAAACTCTTGTGGTGGCATACACCTTTAATCCCAGCACTCGGAGGCTGAGACAGGAGGATCGCTGTGAGTTCGAGACCAGCCTGGGCTACATAGTGAGTTCCAGGTCAGTCTCAACTACATAGTGAGACCCTGTCTCAAAAAAACAAAATAAATAAATAAATAGAAATAAAAATAAGTATTTAGAACTTGAGGGAGTTGTGGGTTTTTTTTGTTTGTTTGTTTGTTTGTTTTTGAGACAGGGTCTCACTATGTAGTTGAGACTGACCTGGAACTCACTATGTAGCCCAGGCTGGTCTTGAACTCAGAGAAACTCTCCTGCCTCAACATCTCAAGTGCTGGGATTACAGGCATGCGCCACCACACCCGGCTCAAATTCTAAATACTTAAAAAATGACTGGCACTGGGGATTTAGCTCAGTGGTTCTGCCGCCTGCCTCACAAGCACAAGGGCCTGAGTTTGATCCCCGGTACCAAAAAATAAAAAATGTCTGGGAAGCATCATACTTGATATGAAGGAGTTTTAAAAAGTGATTCCTCTTCCAATTTACTTAATTATATTTCCTTTATATGTCTGACATATATATGTGTGTGTATCTGTATAGATTCCTTTATGTGTACGCATAGTATTTGATACAATTAAGTCTAAAAGAGATCTTTTAATTAAATATCTATGTGGCTCAGTAGAAGATAGCTTGTCTCCCACGCACGAAGCCCTTTGGGGCTCTTTTTCTTTTTCTTTCTTGGTGGTTCACAAAATACTAGCACATCCTCAGTTGGTAAAGGCTCAATGTGTGGAATTCCGGGATCAGATTTTTCTCAGACTAACCTGAACCTCTTGTGATATGGTTGAAAGAAGTGTTTGCTTCAGCAGGCTAGATGACAGCTGGTCACCATCTTCTATGTCATAATGTGTACCATACTTTAAAAATTGATCTACTGTGCCAGGACCTGAGTTCGATTCCCAGTACCAAAAAAAAAAAAAAATTGATCTACCTTTTTTGACTTCATTTTCTTCCAGGAGGCTCTTCCTTTGAACCTGACATTAGTGTCCTTTCTAATCCTCACAGCATCACTGTGGCTTCTCTCCAAACATTGACGCTCCTCTCCAATAAAGATATGCCAGGGCCAGGGATTTAGCTCAGTGGTTCTGCTGCCTGCTTCACAAGCGCAAAGTCCCGAGTTCGATCCCCAGTACCCAAAAAAATAAAAAAATAAAATTTAAAATACTAATAACATAATCAGCCCTAGGACCTCATGGCCAGGATCTCAGCTCTGCTTTTGCACTGGTGCCTCTATTTTATCATCTATAACATGGGCAAGCTCAAAGGGCTGACCTGATGTGGGGATGGTACACAGGAAGCATCTAGCACAGAACCTTCACCTTACTCTAAACTTGTGCCAGTCTTTGGGATGCTATTCTCTCTTCCTCTCTCTCTCTCTCTCTCTCTCTCTCTCTCTCTCTCTCTCCTCCCAAACATAAAGTTCACCTGCAGTTTCACCACAAATCTCTGCCTTTCCACTCCAGTTTGCAGCACCCTGTTGTTTTCCTCCCTGACCATTTTGGTCTTCATACCCACAACTCTCTTGCCTTGCCATGGAGACCCATGTAGGTTTCCATGTAGGAACCCTTCCTTCCCTGGAGCCCACACCTAACTGTGTTGTTCTGTGGGCTGCTCTTGTACCCACCTCCCTGGCCCAGGCCATGGGGAAAGCTTTACTAAAATCCTCATGTGCCCATGTTCACAGCCCTTACCGCATCTACCTGCCAAGTGAGGCCCTGGAGAAACTAGGAGCATAACTCCAACACAGCTCTCGCCCTGTGGCTCAAGCCTTTCCTCTCTGAGCACCCAAATCATCTCCTGTGCAGTCTATTCCAGGGACACACAGTACATTAAAAGCCTTGGGTTTGAAGTTTTTTCCTCCTTTACTATTTGGCGAACACAAAGATGAGCCTCCCTGGCCTTTTGCTGTAATTTCCCTGCCTTGTGTTCTTCCAAAATCTGCTCAGGGAATCCACAGTTTCATGTACTCTTCTCCAGGCATCTGTGTCAGCTTGGACCAATGTCCAGCAAGGCCACTGGGAGCTCCTATCACTCCTGAGTGATTTCTGGGAAGGACTCAGTCCCCAAGACCTGGCCCCCACGACTTGGCCCAAAGTGCAATGAGACGTACACCTGTTGCCATCCAACTGCTAACCCCCACCCCCAAATGCAGAGCCCAGAAGTGCAAGGCAACAGAATTGGCCACACACCACTAAAAGAATAGGTTCCTCCAGCCAGCAGAAGAGGTCAGAGAACACTGACATTGGACCAAGCAGGACCAAAGCAGATTGGAGATGATTTTTCAGTGGGTACAGTGACCTTTCATTCATGTTTATTTGGAAATGACCTTTAAGCAGAAATCAACAAAAAATGAAATGTTTCAGAGGAATAAATTAGGTAATGCAGATGACCCCCAGTGGTAAGTTATGCCCAAAGAATAGCACAAAGTAAAATCAGCCCTGCCTCAGAAAGTTAAGGACTAGTCTGACCATTAGACTAATAAGTGAGTGCAGAATCCTAGCAACCTCTGTCAATCAGACAATGAAGATGCTGAAGCCAGGGTGACCTGCATGGGAAACACAATTATTTTTAGAATTGAACCAAAACTACCAACCACTGTCTCATTCTGATTCCATTTGGAACATAGGCAACTGCATTACTTGGATGTCCAACGGGTGATTTATCATCCCAGGTGGGGGTGGGAAATGCCCCAATTCTGGGTTCAGGTAGCAGCTTGGTGAGCTCCGTGTGCCCCATCCTAGGCTTCTTTTAGTGGAAGACATCCTTCCTCTACATTAATTGATTCATTTCTAGTTTTTTTTGTTTTTTGGTTTTTGCTCTTTTTTTTTGGTACTAGGGATCAAACTTGGGCCCTTGTGCTTGAGGCAGGTGGCGGCACCACTGAGCTAAATCCCCAGTCCATTAATTGATTCATTTCTGAGACAACTGAACTGTCTTCACCATGCCTATGTTGGGCTCTGTCTGTGTGTGTGTGTGTATGTGTGTGTGTCTTCCATTCAGTATGTTCTGTTCTTCTATCCTTCATACTCTCCCAGGTTCCTCTTATTTTCCTACATCTGTGTCTACATATGGTACCAGACTAGTTGCTCCCTCTGAAATAGAACATATCTCAAAAAACAACTCAGAATCAAGGACTCTGGCCTCCCCTGCCAGCTCAACAGTGAACCCTAGAATCCTCTGGACCTCAGTCCCGGGCCAGGTACATCTTCTCTGACCTGAGGGATCTGCTGGGGGGGACTCAATCGGGGAAATTTACCAAGGGAGAGAGAGTGCTGTCCTACTGGACAAGGGTTTCTACAATCTCCCTAGGTACCTCTTCTGGGCCATTCATCTGTCATTGCTACCAAAGCCAAGGTCCACTTCACAAAAGGCCTTACCTGGAGTAGGACATTCCTGACCCCTTGATCCAGTTGCCTCGGGGAGAGCAGACAATTTGGGGGCTGCAGAAGATACCACCGAGGGATGGAAAATGCACCACCAGGAGCCAGGAAGTCCCAAGGAGACAAGGCCCAGGCACGCACAGAGTGACTGAGATGGGGGGGGCTCTTTGGGTTATGGGAACAAGGGGCCATGGCGGGAGGATTAGGACTTTTTATAATTCAGACCTTGAGGGAGGAAGCCTAGCCTAGTCCAGGACTAGCCTGCTGTGAAGGGCACCCTCTGCCTCTTATAATGGGCATCTCTATGCTGCTAAAGTCTGTGATCACAATAGCTCCCCCGAGAAAATGGAGACCAGCCTCAAACAATCCTTGCACCTAGACATTCCTAGTAGCATTTTTCACAATAGACAAAAGGTAGGAGCAAGCCAAATGTCCACCAATTGCTGGATGGATAAACAAACCAGTACAGCTAGATGGAAAAACATTGCTCACCCAAGAAAAGAAATGAAGTACTGACATGTGTTACAGTGTAGATGAGCCTTAAAATCATGGTTATCCAATTTTTCAGTGAGAGAGATACAAAGGGCCACATGTTATTCCACTTATATGAGATAGCCAGAGTAGGTACCTCCACAGAAAGAGAAAAAAGATTGGTGGTCGTCAGCGTAGTAATTGTAAATGGGTATGAGACTGGTGGCAAAAAAAATTTTTTTTGAGACAGAGGTAGTAGTGTGCAATGTTATGACTGCACTAAATGCCACGGAACTGTTCACTTAAAGGGGTTAATTTTATGTTATGTAAATTTCATTTCAACTTTTTAAAAAATCTGATGATGCTGGGCTTGACAGCACAGCTCTGCAATCCCAGCACTCTGGAATACTCAGGCAGGAGGATCATAAATTCAAGCCCAGCCTGATGTGTCTCAAAATTAAAAAAAAAAAACAACCTTAAAATCTGATGAGTAGCCATAGCATAATTAAGATTCAATCTAGGTTTCTGTAGATGTACTTTGCCTGTTTGGGGAAAGGGTGGATGAGGAGGCCCACTCCCTCCATTTCTATTTTGGTGCATTTTGTCTTTAAATAAACACAGCTAACTTATCCTCTTGTTTAATTCTCTGATAGAATTACAGCGGTACCTCTGTTCACGAGCTTCATTCATTCTACAGCATGGGGAAGATGGCCTCAGTCATGTTTGCCACTCGACACAGAGTTTGTGAATGGAAGCACAATTTTGCCCAGAGCTTCTATTTGCCAACTGAACTGCTCACAAACAGAAGTGTTCAGGAGCCAAGGTTTTACAGTATATGTCCATTTGTTTCTTGACTCTATCACCAAAAAAAAGAGTCTCACTCCCGGCACGGCAAGAACGTGACTGGTCCAAGTGTGAGAGCCCAGTCTAGCTGCGGTGAGCACTCAATAGCTGTTTTGGAGTGGATGGAACTATATGCATTATCCTGCTTACATGTTCCTTTCCTTCTTAAATAAGAGCTATAAATATGTTGATGGAATGTAAAATGATGTAGCTGCCATAGAAAACAGGATGGAGGTTTAAAAAAAGTTCAAAACCAAATTGCCATGTGATTTCTAAGTATACTCCACAATTACGAACAGTTAAGTGAGGAGGTATTTCCACACCCATCTTCATCAGTGACATTTGTAATAGCCAAGAGGGGAGGGACAAGCTTGATGTGCAGCAATGAATGAATAAAGAAAGAAAGCTGGTCTACGCATACAAGGGAACATCATTCACCGTTATAAAGGAAGGAAATTATTTTGGGGGCATGGGGGTTGGTACCTGGGATCGAACTCAGGACCTTGAGCTTGCGAGGCAGGTGGCAGAACCTCAGAGCTAAATCCCCGGCTCTATTTTTCTATAAGGTTTCACTGTGTAGCCCAGGATGACCTTGAGCTCGCTGTGATCCTCCTGCTTTAGCCTCCTGATTGCTGGGATTACAGGCATGTGCCACCACACCTGGTGAGGAAGGAAATTCTGACTACAACACTGAAGAACCTTGAGGACATTATGCTAAGTGAAGTAAGCCAGCCACAGAAGTGCAAAGAACAAATGATTGCAAATAAATAACAACAAATAACATAGAAACTGAAAGTAGAATTGTGATTGCCAGGAGCTGGGCTGGGGAGAAGGGGAAGGGGGGACTTGTACAGTAATAGGTACAGTAGAGAGTTTCAATTTTTGAAGATGTAAAGTTCTAAAGATCTGATGCACATGTGTGCCTCTAGTTAACAGAACCATACACTTAGAAATGGTTAAGATGGTAAATTGAATGTTACGTGTTTTTACCACCTTTTATGAAGTTACAGAGACGTGTGCCAATGGATATGTAATTATATATCTTTGATGTTTTTCATAGAGAGGTTTTTGAGAGGGCAGCTGAACCCAGAAGACCCCTGCTGCCTGTTGTTGAGTAGGGACTATCCTGGTGGGTGGCACTTTGGGCAGCAATGCCCTTGAGGGGTGCCAGCTCCATCTCTCGTCTCCAGAAACACATCAGCACAGATTGGAAAAGTGTTACATGGCTGGATAGAGTCGCAAGGGGACCATCCAAACAGGCTTATGAAACAAGAGTCATTAACGAGAAGTCACCCAGAGTATTCTTTGCCAAGAACTGGGTTGTACAGAACTGGGCCCTAAAAATGTTAAGATCAATTGACAAAGTGGGTCTCTCCTGGAACACAGTGAGACCCCACTCCCCTACCAAGGATTGAGCAGGGGCCCTGGGGCATTCTAACCTGCAAATGTTTGAAACACTCAAAGGAAGAAAGGAAGCAGTGGTAAACTGGCCCCTCAGAAATGTCAGTGCAGGGCCAGGGATTTAGCTCAGTGGTTCCGCCACCTGCCTTACAAGCACAAGGTCCTGAGTTCGATCCCAGGTACCAAAAACAAACAAACAAACAAAAAAGAAAAGTTAGTGCAAAGATTGGCACACTACAGGGCACACCTAGGCACTGCATGGTTTAATAAATAAAGTTTTATTGGGACATGTTAATGGCCATTCATTTATTGTCAATAGCCACTTAAACAATGGGAGAGACTGTATGGGCCACCAAGCCATTTTTTTTCATTAAGTTTATTGGTACGTTTTATGTATATAGGACAGTTACATTCATCATTGGGATCTTTACACCCTACACCCCTTCCCTATTTACAAAGACTTCATTTTTTCCTTTTCTCATATTTTTTTTCTTTTCCCTTCTTTCCTTTCCCCTACCCTTCCCTCTTCTCCTACTCCTTTAGATCTTTTCTTCCTATTTCAAATTATCAATTATACAATGTGAACCTTATTTACACAGCCATATTTACTCTCTAGCACTCTACAGAAAAAAGTTTGCCCAGCCCTGCTCTAGAGAAAAATTCAGTGATCTACTAGGGAGGCCATAAAACTTCACTCCTTTAAAGGGCCCATAAGCCCGTCTTCCCATCTGTTTTCTCCTGTGGCCCTGCCTCCTCCTACTACCACCAATTTTCAGTGTTTGAAACAGCACAGAATATCCCCTGCTGCAGATAAGGCAGCAGCATTTATAATTGGTTTTAGATGCTAATGAGAGTCATCCACCTCCCTTCACTTCCCCTGGTGGACTTATCTTCCTAATCATGCATGACTTAGGCCAAAACTGAGCAGCACCCACACTCCCAGAGCACCCCATCCCACCAACTGCAGAGTTGGGGGAGGAAATGTGAAGCCCCTCAAGGGGCCTGAATGCCAAAGAAAAAGGCAACACTAGCCTGTGATGAGGCACAAGACCCAGCCAGAGTCAAAATGCCAATAAGAAATGGAGTTTGTTTCTAGAAAGACTGCTCTTAAACTTCTTGTGTTAAAAGACTCTTTGAAAACCTGATGAAAATTAGAAAATGATCATGTCTTCCAATTCAGTAAGGTTCACAGAGCCTTGAAACACATCCACGGATGCCCAATTGTGAGCCCTTCATGGAGAGGAAAGGTGTTAATCTTTCATTTCATCCTGCCAAGCAACCCTTTTTATCAAGTGAGCTCTCACAAAGAGATTCGGTACTTAAGAGAGTCTTAAAGCAAGGCTGCCCTGTCACAGTTACTACATCGTTCTGTCCCTCTGGCAGTTCCTGGAGTCACTTTTCCATCTGCTGAGATTGCCTGCAGCCAGAGGTTAGAGCAGGAGAGGGCTCCGCAGGCTCCCCAAGATGGTGCCTCTCCAAGAGAGGTGCTGGACCAGTCACAGCTTTTTCTTCACCAGTGACTCATGAGGGTCTACCTCTCAGGAGACTCAAAGGCACCTCAGGGCTGTTGAACCTGGAAGGACAGTTCTTATGCACTGCGGGCAGTGGTCTTGGGATCCAGGAATTTTACAGCAAGGCAAGGAGACCACAGAACATCACATAATGATACAAAAGTTCTTCAAAAGTCAGGAAGAGGGGCCGGGGATTTAGCTCAGCGGTTCGGTGGCCTGCCTTCCAAGAGCAAGGACCAGAGTTCAATCTCCGGTACCAAAGAAAAAAAAAGTCAGGAAGAGAAGAAGTGCTGTACAAAGTGATCAAAGAGAAATTGCCAGCTACATTAGAGTTATTCATAGGAAAATGGATGCACATCGAGGCCATACTCTTGAGTGAAATAAATAAGTCACACATGTGTAAATACCAAATAGCTTCTGTGATGTGAAAAACTATAATTGTAAATAAGATCCTAATGGTATAATTTGACAATGTGAAATAGGAAGGAAAGGGCTAAAGGTGTAGCAGAAGTGGGAAGGGTAGGGGAAAGGAAATAAGGGAAAAGAAAAAATATGAGAAAGTGAAAAAATGGAAATAAAGTGTTTGTAAATAAAGAAAGGGAGAGGAGGATGAAGGGAGGGCAGGGACAAGGGGCAAAAATGAGAACCAAGACCTGTCACGTAAAGGTACAAGATCCCAATGATGAATGTAACTGTGCTGTATACCTAAAATGTATCAATAAACTTAATGAGAAAAAAAAATTGCCAGCTAAGTCATCTCTAGCCTTTTATAGGACAAAAGAAAGTATAAGTATTTCTTTTTTAACCTTAGTGACTGAAAAAGAGGCATAGATGCACGCAGATGCTCCTAAGCATATAATGGCGCATCCTGACTCTACCGTTCATAATCTGAAAATGTCAT